CTGCTTAAATAAAATAACTATCTACTTAGCAGGTGTAAACCAATAATCGAACTCATTGCCTTATTGAGTTTTGCTTACACCCCTCCTTTATGAACGCCCTGTTAAACTGAACGGTTTTCGTCGGTCCCGACGGTGTTCAGATAGGAGAGGTTTTACTGTATATGATTTGTTTTATGTTACTCGATTATTATGAAATCAATTCATGTATATATACTTTTGCATAACTTATCAAATAAATCCATGTCATATTGCTCATTAGATATTGAATTAGAAGTTTGATAAAGGTTCTTCGCCACACTTAGTAATTTATTCTCAGAACTAATTATATACCTGACAACTTGATTTGAACAAATAAAATATCATATGATAACATGATGATCCTATTGTAAAAGACTTTCTAACGCAATCTATAGGAAGCAATTTGAGATGGTACACCCACTACTTATAAATATCTCTTTTCGAACGTACCATTTGAATGTTAATACTTTTCGTTTTCTAGAAACCAATGTTATCTAGAGCACATCAACTGCGAATTTAACCAAAGAAGTTTTGCCCTTTCGTGACAGCACATTTTATGATTTGGTCGAAGAACAATGTGGCCCTATTGTTGCTGAGATTATGAAGATACAAGATGTTTCGTCGGTCGAATGCTTCCTCGAAATCAACAGTATTTTGGATATTTTAGAACTCGATTCCGATGATCTCATTCCATTAAAGAAAAAAGCAGGAATTTATCTTAATGATGGTCGTTATATGATTAAGAAAGGGATAGTGTTCAAGGTTGAAACTTTTCTCCAACCTCTTCGTGCTCTTGATCATCAATATTCAATTGATAATACCTCTCGCAATTCTTCTAATTCATCTGGTGTAATTATTTCCGACGATATTTTAGGACAATTTCCATTTATACGAACAATTATTACTTATTCAACAGTGATTATGAACAGCAAAATTGACTTCACAATTTTAAATATTATTTTGAAAACTATTTTCAATAATTTAATCAGTGATGAACGAGGTTATCGATATGACAATACAATTCGTCAGTTTGCAGCCAGTATTTATATTTTTGGTGGTCGTACAAGATACGAATTTATACGAATTAATATTCCTGCACTTCTTCCAAGTGTAAGAATTATTCAGTCATATATTGCGTCTTATGAAAATCGTTTATCTGAAGGATCATTTAATTATAATGGCATTAGTGATCGTTTTGGTTTAAATCAAACAGTATTAGGTTTTTGTGCTGAAGATTGTACAGCAATTATTCCTAAAATTACATACGACAGTTCGTCAAATTCATTTATTGGTTTTCCACCTCTACTTGATGCTAATGGAATACCTGTTGCTAATTGTTTTACAACAGACTCATTTACTTGTTTAGAAAATTGGTATTCGACTTTACCATCAGCTAAATTGTTAAATGCTATTACTGTTCAACCACTTTCTTCTTCATTTAGAAATATTTCGCCAGATATACTTGAAGCTTATGGAACAGATGGTTCATTCACAGCAGCAAATGTGCTGCCTCGATGGAGTCAGATATATCAAGAATTCAAAAAGCGAGGTGTTCGCATTATTGGTTACTCCAGTGATTGTGACAGTCGATACCTACTTTCCATGAAAGCAGCACTTGGATTTTTTGCAAATTTCGCGTTCGTCGATCATGCAGATTTACTTTCTATTGATCTTCCATCAACGTGGTCCTGGTTCTTTATGCCACTCGAATAATTATTTGTTTGCATGCAAGACGCAACTCACATTTGTACAAAGCTACGAAATCGACTTCTGTCAACAACAGCAACCCTTCTTTTTGGAAACGAATTAATCAATATCGATCCACTTCTTTATCTCATCGAAAATTTCTCAAAACTTGACCACGGACTTATTCGTTCTGACATCAATCCAAAAGATAGGCAAAATTACAACTCAGCAGCAAAGGTTTCAAATGATAATGTTTTGGACTTACTTGAACAAGTTCCAAATTCACTTGGTATTCGTATTTATTTACAGGTACGTGTATATGACTGTAGTATAGAATAAAGGGTTTGCACTTTTTTTAAAATACGAAAGAGAAACCTTTCAACGAGATTCAGAGGACACTCATATATATGTAAAGACTCAACTCAATAAAATTACGAAATATTTGTACAATCACATTACTTCTCATTGATATTGAATATACTAGAAATATTCTTGCATGTTTAATAAAGATCTTATTCTTGTATTCTCGAGATAGATTGATAATCGTAAAGTAGTCGACCATTTCAAAAAAAACTTGTTGATTATTAGAACTTTTCTTACCGAATGATTTTTAACTGATTTTTAGACCATCAAATGTGTTAAACTTGCTTACATAGAAAAAAACCAACATCCTTGATCGCATCTTCTACGGATGGACAGTTGTTTTTATTTTTCGATTTTGGTGTTTTTGGATGGGCAAAATGAGTAAAAAGGATCTTTATGAAATTTTTACACAAATATCTGATAATGATAGACAATCCGATGATATTATTAAACCCAAATCCAATTATTTCATCACATATCAATCACACTTTTCTATTGAAATCAATGCTTGTATCTGAACAACAGCTTCCTGTCGAGGCTCTCAATATACCACTTCAAAATTCACAAACGTGGGAGAGTGTATTCCGATCAGCAAGATCGATATCAAGTACATTTTCATCTGGAGTAAACTTTACTATTTCTCAATTTTTATCTCAAGCTAACAAATTATCAATGCTACAGAATATAAAAAATATTAGGTTGGCCAGAAAGTTTTTGCGTTTTTTCTTAAATTTTCCTAGAATAGTCAAGAAAGTTCTAGAAGTTTCCATATTGTGGGTATATAAAGGGAATACAAATTTCTTTCGGACAATAACAAAATCATGGATATGGGCGTTGATCAAGAATTAGAATTTAAGATATCTCGTAGAGAGCTCCGAGTGCTTTTGCTTCATGAATTTCGTTTGGGTCACAAAGCAACGGACGCAGCTAGCAACATATGCAGCNAAGGAGGTACTCTGCATTCGTACAGCGCAACATTGGTTCAGTCGGTTCAAGAATGGCAATTTAGAACTCGACGATTTACCTCGATCCGGAAGGCCAATAGAGGTGGATATGGATGCTTTGAAGCAACTCATCGAAGAAGATCCTAGACTGACTACACGGTGTTTAGCAGAGCGACTTGGTTGCGTTCATGCTACAGTGGAAACACACCTGAAAGAATTGGGCAAAACGTGGAAATACGGTGTTTGGATTCCACATGAATTGTCACCGCGTCAGCTCCAACTCAGGA